TGACAAGTTTTTACTACACAGTCCTAACTAGTCTGAAACTCACTATGCGGAGCAACATGGCCTCACACTTGCAGCCATCTTCCTGCCACTGCCTCTAGAACATTCAGATTATAGGTGTGCACCACCATGCCTGGTTTAAGACGTTTTGAAAATAAACATTTTACCTGCATTTGTTCTCATAAAAGCAAATGAGCTTTTTGAAAAGGTTCTATGAACTTCTTGCCATTTAAAACACATGAGCTTTCCCCCTCTGGACTCAGTTGATAGAAAACTAATATACATGCATACACATAGGTATACGTACATACATACACACATATGTCACAAATCAAATGCACGCATATATTTAAGTAGGTGGTGTCATTTGCCACAGCACCGATAACCCTCCTTTCACATGACTTCACATAGACTTGTGTGCCTTGCAGGAAAACGGCTGAAACTGGGGAGCTGCATGGACTCACGACACACGACAAGTTTGTGGAAGGAGTGTACAGAGTGGAACTAGACACCAAGTCCTACTGGAAGACACTTGGCATTTCCCCCTTCCATGAATATGCAGAGGTCAGTAGACCGACAGCCTTGATTCCGCCTTCAGTCTCAGGAAATGCAGTTTGCTCTTAGCAGGCCAGGAGAGTGTGGGGTCAGCACAAGGACCACAGCTTCCTGTGCCTGTTCTGTGACCAGAAGTCCACAGCACCTGAGAAGCAAGCCTTCTTTTCCTAGGTTTCGTGAAAATTCATTTAGAGACACAACCTGACCCTGCATGCCACTATTTTTGGTCTGCTCACTGCATCCCATGTGAATATTTGTTTCTCTATCAAAGAAATATTGCTTTTTGCTTTTGAGGCAGTCTCCAATACCCAAGGGTCTTACTCAAAAGAGAGGGTCCCAAAGTTGCTTCTCTAAAACCAGAAAATTTCTTTATTCTAAAACACATCTGGCTCCCCAGAGGTTTAGGTGAATCAATTCTTGGCAACACAATACATTCAAAATCGTAACAGCAACACAATAGATAAATTACCAAGTGTGCCTCACCCTGTATGCTATGGCAAAGTTCTTCTGCATTTAAACTGTTTCATTCTTATGACCAACCCATGGAGGTCAGTCCTAGTCTTAGTCCCATTTTACAGATGAGGAAGGTGAGGGAGGGTCACAGGGCTAGCAGGTGAGCAAGTGGAGCAACAGAAATGCTTAGCTCCAGAGCCCAGGCTGGAGTTGGCAGCCTCAATGTGGGTGTGCCTCCCTGTGCCTTGGCCAGCTTTTCTCCTGTAAAAACTCAAGCTAAAACAAAAACAAAACAAACAACAAAAGCCACATTAGTAACAACCTTTGGTTCACACTGTCCTTTTGTTCTACGGGGTCCAATCTCACTGCCTCTGCCTGGTGCTCACTCCTGTCAGAATCCAGGCTTGTTGGTCAGAACTAGAGAGCAACTAATCCCATAAAAAATAACCTGGGCATGAAAGGGAACCAAGCCTCATGGCCTAGCCACAAATGAGACATCCGAGTGACATCAAGCAGTTCCTTTAGGTGACCCGGTTACCAGGGAAACTGCAGGGCCTGTGGGACTCCTGGGCCCAGTCATGAGGGAACATCCATCCACTAAGAAGCTTCTCTAGCTACTCCTCACCCAGAACCAAGACACTGAGGAAACTGGGACAGGTGTGGGGTTGGCTGGGGACCAGCACAGGACACTCAGCATCACGCCGACCACTGAACCGGCATCCATTATGCCCCTGTCTGCTCCAAGCCTCAGCCTGCTGGGACCACCTGCGGTTCACTCATGTTACCCTGGTTAGGTTTCTTGTCTGCTGCTTTTTGTATTCAATCGACAAACATCATCACTTTGTTTTGTTTTGGATTTTTGTTTCTTTGGTCTTTTTTTTTTTTTTTTTTTTTTTTTGTTTTTTTTGAGACAGGTTCCCCAGGTAGCCCGGGCTGCCTGGGATTTCACTATGTAGCCCAGTCTGGCCTTGAACCCACAGAGATCCACCTGCCTCTGCCTCCCGAGTGCTGGGATGGATTAAATGTGTGTGCCACCACACCTGGGCATTTTGAATTTTTTTTTTAAGGTAGAATCTCACGTAGCCCAGGCCAGCCTCAGACTTACTATGTAGCTGAGGATGACCTTGAACTCCTGATCCTTCTGCCTCTACCTCCCAAGTGCTGGGACTGCAGGTGTGTACCACCATACCTGGTTTATGTGATGCTGGAGCTCTGAACCCAGGGCTTCCTGCATGCTTGGCAAGCACTTGACTAACTGAACTACCTCCCTAGCCATCATGCAATTAACGTTTAAAAATAAAAGCCTGTGTGCTGAGCACTCTGTTTGACGCTAGAGATTCAGAAGTAAGAATGGGCACTCTTGTCCAGGGTAAGAGAGGGCATCACTAACACAAGATGTTTCTGTAGAATCAGGGACCAGCTTGGCACCTGAATGGCACAGGAGCAGGAGCATGTGAGAGGTAGAACCTGGGCCTTTCTGCCTCCACGGGTGCCTGCAGCTGTCACCTCTTCTGTTAAACCTCTCCCAGAGAGGTACAGGCCTTCGACTTCCTCTCTGCCAAGAGCCCAGATGATCATATCAGATTTACCAAGGAAAAATAGGAAATATCCTTTGGAACTATTAGGGCTTTTTGCTTCACAGATTTTGTTATGCATGTTCATGTACATGTATGTGTATGTACACATATGTATGCATGTGGAGGCCAGAGGACAACCTTAGATGTCACCCTCAGGAACACTGTTCACCTCCTTTCAGACAGGGTTTCTCATTGGCCTATGTCTTGGCCCGCGAGACAGTCAACGTGGGAACCTGGAGAGAGGAGAGGGGACTGAAAGGGACAAGAGACGCGAAGAATGGAGACAAGACAGGCTTTCTGATCAAGTCTCGTTTATTGACAGAGAAAGAACAGTTTTTATAAGGAGGGGAGGGGGAAGGTTAACAGAATCAATTCTATTGACAGGGCAATTATCGTAATTACACCACACCAATTGATCACAGAGTAAATTCCATAGTAACACCACAATTCTATAGTAAGCTATAAATCAATTAAAAGGTCACACCTGCATGATTACAAAGTAATGCAAAAGGTTTCTTAGGCAGTTCCATGAGAAATGAGGGAGTCTCTCAAGCGGTAAGTGCTCGGGTTAGAATAACATGTTTTCGTGAGGCTTTCAAGTATGGCCATCTGGTTAATCTAAAGCCAGGTCAGACTTGATGTCTGGAAAACAGCTTTGCCAGGAATCAGGTCTTGCTATTGAGGGGCTCAGGGGCTCCCTACAGACCTAGACCTCACCAATTAGGCTAGACTGGCTGTCCAGTGAGCCCCAGGGATCCTCAGTCTCTGGGACCACAAGTGAACTCCACCATGCCTAGCATTTTTATCTGGGGGATCAAACTCATGTCCATGTGCTTGTAAGGCAGCATTTTACTGGCTGAGCCATCTCCCCAGCCCTGCCTATTGAATTTTAAAAAATCACATATAACTTACCACATTTGAGAAAGAATCAAATAGGGCTAGATGACAGTATCATGAAAAGAAGTAAGAAACTTCCCTGGGTGGGGCATAGTGGCACATACCTGTCATCCCAGCCCTCGGGAGGCTAAGGCAGAGTGCTCTAGAGTCCAGCCTAGGCAACATGGGGAGACACTTTCTCCAAAAACTGAGGGCTGGTGATGCAGCCCAGTAGCAGAGTGTCTGCCTAGTCTTCATGAGATTTGATTCCTAGCACCACAAATGATAATATTAAAATTTAAAAATAGAGATTCTAAGCAGATTCTCCCTTCTGCTCACCTGGAGGTTATTTTGTGTTCGGCTTGTTTCACTTAGACACCCAGGCTTTTCTTCATCCACATGAAGAAAAATTATTTACTCAGAATGTATTCAAAGCTCCATCCAGGGCCTGTACACAAAATAAGTAAAATTACCAGCATTTTCCCAGCTTTCCATCTCTTTACTTGCCTCACTCCCCACACCTGGGCTGTCACAGCGCCGGCATCTCAGATGCCTCAGTGATTTGAGAAGCGTATGACTAGTTGATTGCGAGGACACAGATCCACCTTTTGTCAAATCAGAAAGCTTGATGAGCTCCAAAGCTTCCGTGTACATTTCAGAATCCCAACATTATCATCCACACAGTGCGTGTGCTGTAAAAGGAATCATGTATTGCTTTTATCCCATAGCTCAGTAGCTGTTACATACTTGAAGCTACACATCTTCCTGTTAGAACACACAAAGAAATAGTGGGAGAGAGACCTCTGGGCTCGCAGATGGGGAGCCTTCCTTGCTGGTGTGGTTCTATCAGTGTAGAAACATGGGCAGAGATGCACAGGTCTGTAGAGTGGAATGGTTCCTGCCGAAGTTCTAGGTCTTGAAGTCTGTGGTGAGGTTGGCAACCAACCATTCCCAGCAGGTTTTGTTTGTGGGTACAGTGTTTCCCTTCTTTCTACCTTTCTCTGAACCCTGAAAGTGAACAGGAGCCTTCAGGCTTTCTGTGACTTGGTCCAGCCCAGGCCACCTAGACTGTGCAAAGACGTCCACGACAGGCTGTGGTGACTTTCTAGAAGGCTTGGCTTCCCAACATATTTGCATTTTTGACTTTTGTTCTAATTATCACCCCCAAAGATAATAAAATGAAGATTATCTGGCATTGACCTTCCAGAAGCCTCTCCTCCCATGGCTCCCACCTCTGAGCTCTGGTACAAACAGCTCTGTGTTTTCTCTCCTAGGTGGTTTTCACAGCCAACGACTCTGGGCACCGCCACTACACCATTGCTGCCCTGCTCAGCCCCTACTCCTACTCCACCACCGCTGTCGTCAGCAACCCCCAGGAGTGAGGGGCCTGACCCAGGACGGCCAGGAGCTCCAGCTTGTGGTAGAATTCCGTTTGTACTGAAACAGTGTTCTTGGTCTATAAACTATGTTAGGAACTCGGGAAGACACCAGGAAACCTTCCTATTAAAGCACTTGTCATTTCATTTGAACTTCATTTCTTTTTTGTTCCTTTTTTTCCCTCCCTTACCGCCTAAAATCCAAATTTTATAGACTAGCTAAAGAATTGTAGAATATCTCCAGTCAGGACTTAGGGAGAGAGTCAAAGTTGGGTTTTGTTTGTTTTGTCTTTTTGAGCCCCTACTGGCTTGGAACTCACTATGTAGACTAGGTTGGCCTTGAACTCACAGAGATCCATCTGCCTCTGACTCCCAAGTGCTGGGATTAAAGACGTGTGCCACCACACCCAGCCTACCAATATTGTTTGTTTGTTTTTTAATATCCATTCTGGCTCATGGTTTAAGGGCATCCCAATCATCATGGGGGTTAGAAGCTCATGGTTACATTGGTGACAGTTTTCCCAGATGAAGGCAGATTGAGAAGCACAGAGATCCAACCTTTCAATGTTTCACAAGCAAAGCCCATATTAGGCGCGACTTGAACCATTAAAAGCACAGTGTGAAGGGCTGGGGCACCACTACATGGTAGTGTTTGCCTAGCCCTGTTCAAAGCCCTGGGTTCAATCTCCAACACTGAAAAATAAGCCAAAAGAAAACCAAAAGACACATTCTGAAAATAAAAAGCTTTATTTTCCTGTAATCTTCAGTGAATGGCTAAAGGCAGACTGTAGGGGCCCAGTTGTGGTTTTTGTTTTGTTTTGTTTTGTTTTGTTTTTTTGGTCTTTTTGAAATAGGGTCTCACTCTAGCCCCAGCTGGCCTGAAATTCCCTCTGTAGACCAGGCTGGTCTTAAAATCACAAAAATCCATCTTCCTCTGCCTCCTGAGTGCTGGGATTAAAAGTGTGCCCCACAGCCCAAGGGCCCAGTTCTTTAGGCATTTCTGTTAAACCTTTGCTCTAATTAAGGAATAATACAGTTCCTTTGCACAGGAATGGGCCCATCAATAGTCAGGCATGGATGGAGGAGGGGCTCTGGGAACTTGAACTACTCACTACTGATAGATTTAGGGAGAGGGAAAACCATTACCTTCAGTTATGTACCCTCCGAAGACTCCCCCAGGGTCCAATGGATACTTCTAATCCAATGGTCGCACCAACTGCCCTGGTTAAACTAAATGGATCACAAAACTAAAAGTTATGACTCTGAGAAAGGAGCTGGTAGCAATGTCTTTGGGACAGGGGTGGGGGGTTGATAGGATGTTGCTGTGATAAAACATCGTGACCAAGGCAACCTATACAAAGAAGAGTTTATTGGGCTTATGACCTCAAAGGGATAAGAGTCCATCATGGAGGGGGAGGCATGGCACAGAAACCTGGAGCAGAAAGCTGTGTGCTCACGTCTTCAAGCAGGCACAGGAAGCAGGGAGGGCAAAACTGGAAATGGGGCAACACTATGAACTCTCAAACATGCCCCATGACAGGCTTCCTCCAGCAAGCCCACACCTCCTTAGAGTCCATGACTCTCCCCAAAGCACCATCATCTGATCAAGTGTTCAAATACTTGAGCCTACAGGGAATATTTTTCATCCAAACATATCACAGAATGGAGGGAGATAAGGGAGAGCAGGGAAAGAGAGTAATCAGGGCACATTATGTACATGTATGAAATTGAAGGTAACAAAATCAATGAATAAAACAGTTTTTAAGAGTATCACAGTTCCAAGCTGGAGAGATGGGTCAGCAGTTAAGAACACTGGTTGTTCTTGCAGAAGACCCAGGTTCGAATCCCAGTACCCACATGGCAGCTAACAATTGTCCGTAACTCCAGTTCCGGGAGATCCGACAGCCTCTTCTGTCCTCTGAGGGCATTGCACGACATGGGTGCACTTACCTACATGCAGGCATAACTCTCATACACATAAAATAAAAATAAATAAAATATTACACACATAAACCTTAAAAAACAAAAGAGTATCACTGTTCCAATGGGTGCCCTCTGACCCAGTTTAGAACAACTCTGCCTAGCAATAAGATCAGTAAGAAAGGAAACCCACATATACCCAATTTACATACTCTAACCTCAAATCCATGCCTATGTGGAATAAACACAGACACAGACACACAGACACACACACACACACACACACACACACACACACACATCTACATATATTTACCAGGGACTGAGCACAGTAATATGGGTAAAAGAACAGATTTGCCAAAAAAGATATTAAGTTCAATTTTAACCATACCAAGTTTAATGCAACCTGGCAAATTTTTAAACTCTCAACTTTAAAGTTGGCATTGTGTATACACATATAACCAAGGAAAAAATGCAGTAGCTCTTGAAAAGTGGCAGCAACATCAGGTGGGTGACTAAATATTCAATCCTGCCTGCAACATTTTGATAGCATCTGCCCAACAAAGAAAGCAAGTACTTATGCCTCGAGCTGTATTTTGTCCACCAAAAGTTTATGGCAGAATTATTTCTCCCCAAACCTTCATTTCACAGGCAATCCCTTCCGGTTACTTCACAATCCAGGGAACACACACTTCCTGGAGCTCCATTAGTTCTCCTTCCTGCATTTCAAAATGGAAATGAGCTTAGAATCAATTCCATTTTCCCAGCTCTCCATTCTCTCTGGGTTAGATTTGAAGTCAAGGCAGCCGGTAAGTCAGCTTTGGCAACCCATGCAAACACTGAAGGTCTGTTCCCAAACCTTGAGCAAGGAGACAGGTTGCATGCACGCTTCCTTAAATGAGCCCTAAGGATTCCGAGGCACCCTCTGGGGCTCAGCAGTCATCCACCTGCTGTTGCTGCCACTCCTTAGGAAGCTAGGGGTTCTGGAAATGGGTACAAGGCATGATGGGAGAGAAGACTGAGGGTGAGGTTGGAAGGGCAGCCCTGGGCAGCTGTCTGGACAAGGACTTGTATTGACTGGATGAGCACTGCTCCACCTGCTTCCTCAGGAAAGTGCATTTGGAAAGTACATTGGATGTGTTTCCCAGTCTCTGGAAATAGTGCCTAGCATATATATTGAGACCTGCTGTCTTAGTTTGTTTCTTCACTGCTGTGACAAAACACTCTGACCAGTACCAACTTGGGGAGGAAAGGGTTTATTTGTCTTACATCTCCCAGGTCACACGCAGTTCATCAGGGAGCCCAAGGTAGGAACTCAGGGCAGGAACCTGGAGGCAGGAGTTGGAGCACAGACCATGGAGGAACGCTGCTTACTGGCTTGCTCCCTTGGCTCCTGCTCAGCCTGCTTTCTTATGCAAC